GTGTGTGTGTGTGTGTGTGTGTGTGTGTGTGTGTGTGTGTGTGTGTGTGTGTATATGTGTTTGCAAATATGTAAGAAAAGGGGATCAATGTTAAAGCTACTTATATACTTGGCATTGATTCATTGAACCAAAAATCATGGAAGCAAAAAAAAATAATTAGAAGAGGTTTAGTTCTGAGTTTATAGCTGCTAAAAACAGCTTTTATAAAGGAATCGCCTTTTTGCAAAAAGTATTTTCTTGTTTTTTATGCCCTTGAAAAGGAATCACATACCTTACATGAAAATGGTGTGCTGCTTGACTGCATTAAAATGACAGGGGTCCAGCAGACACATTATAGCTAATTTTAGTAGGTAGAGCAGACACACTTGAGCTTATTTTTCTCTGACTTTCTCACTCCCCATTCCAGCCCCTCGGGTACGCACGTTACACCATTCCCTAGAGTTAGAGTCAGAAGATGGGACTGGAGAGTTTCAGTACAGAATGTAGCTCTGGACATCACCAAGAAAAAGAAAGGAAGGGAAGAAAGAGAAGAGAGGGTAAGCAAAAGGGAGGGGGAAAAGGAACAGAAGGAGAGAAGGAAAAAAGGAGGAAGGGAGCGCAAGAAAAGAATGAAAGAAAAAAACAGAAAGCAAGGAGAGAAAAAAAATAAAGAAAAACTGAGAAAGGAAGGAAGCTTCGCTGAAGGGAGGAAAAGGAGCGAGGAAGAGGGGAAGGAAGAGTGTGAGAAATGTTTTTGTCTCAGGTCCATTAGAGAGAGAAATAGAACCCTTATCAGCGCTACGGAATCTCGAAGAGGCAGTGTTATTTTCTTGAAAGCCCCGAAGCTAAGTAATTCCAAGAATGTTTGGCAAAGCCCTTTGGGGAAGGGTGAGGTGGGGGACGGGCGTTGGGGGGGGCTTTCTCACCCCCCCACCCCCGGCCTCCTCACAGGATGTGACAGGATTTGGGAGACCTAGAGGAAACCTTCAGGTCACCCAGGGAACTGCTCCCCTCGCTGGTCCTGCAGTGGCGAGGCGGGGTGGGGGTGGGGGGGTGAGAGCGCCGAGACGCGCGGGGCGCGGAGATGTGCAAGTGGCGAAGCTGGACCCAGCGCAGGCGGGAGAAGCCGCCCGACTCCCGGCGCGGGATCTGCTGAGAGACCACGGTGAGTCTCTCCGGGTACGGGTCCGAGGGATGCCCGGGTTCCCCGTCGCCCCCGGGCCCGGGCCGAGGCGGGCCCGGAACCTCCCCGGAGTCCGGCCTGGGCTCGGCGCCGCCGCCCGCCGCCAGGAGCCCGCGCTGCTCGGGACGCGCCTGGGCGGACGCACCGACCGACCAGCGCTCTGCGGCGCTCCCCGCCGCCCGCAGACCCAGTGCGCTCATTGGTCGGGATGTGTCTGCTCAGCAGCCTCCAACTTCTCCCGAATCCCACGGGTGAGTCCCGAGAAAGCGAGCTGGCACCTGGGAGCTGGGGGGAGATGGGTCCAAAGGGCGCGAGATCTCCCCCGGGGGCGGTGGGAGCCGTTGGGACGGGAGCCGGAGGGGAGCGGCGGCCGCGCGGAGCGGCTGCCTGGAAGGCGCACGGAGCAGGGTCCGCGGCTCAGGTCCGGCGAGATCAGAGCGCCCGGGACCCCGCGGCCGTGGGCGAGGGAGGCGTGCCCGGGGAAGAAGCTGCAACTGAGACTTGAAGAGTGAGGGACTGGGGTTAGAGAGGGTGACCTGGACGAGGGCTCTGCAAGTGATGTCAGGTCGACTCTTCAGGTTCATTTCCATAGCTTCCTGCAGCCTGTGCCTCGGAGAGTTACGTCCGGTTACTGAGATCAGCGCTACGAAATTGCAGCCTGGCTGATTTGGGGGCTGGGAATTTGCCATTCCGCTGTAAAGACACTGTTTGTTTTTGTTTGTTTTTTAAAGTAAGGTTTGTTTTCATTTTGGTTTCTGTCAGATTTTCTTCTCATTTGTAACTCACTTGCCTATTTTTACTTTCCCTAGCCTGAAGATCTTTTCATCATCCTGCCTCTTCATCTTGCTTTAAACCTTAGTTTCCTCTTACATAATTTATGCTGATAGAGTGCTTAAATCTCGAGGGTTGGTTGGTGGGAGTGGTGGTGGGAGTTCTTTTGCAGACGAAAGTTTCCTTAATCTGTCTTAACCTATTTGTATTATTTGAAAAAAAGAGTAATTGCAACTGAAGTGTTCTCTTTATTTATTTATTTTTCAATAAATTTATTTATTTTTGTCCGAGTTGGGTCTTCTTTGCTGCGCGCAGGCTTTCTCTTGTGGAGCACAGGCTCGCGGGCTCAGTAGTTGTGGCTTGCGGGCTCTAGAGCGCAGGCTCAGTAGTTGTACAGGACTGGCTCAGTTGCTTCGCGGGCATGTGGAATCTTCCCAGACCAGGGCTTGAAACCCTGTCCCCTGCATTGGCAGGTGGATTTTTAACCACTGCACCACCAGGGAAGTCCCAAACTGTTCTCTTCAGCCGCTTGGTCAAGTTTACTCCTCCCCCATATACGATGCAAATGGTAATTTTATTAAACTGAAAAGAAGTACCTCGATTTGCAGTGTCAGCATTTGGAAGCTACTAGTCTGCAAACCGGCTATGAAGACATCTAGCTGGCATTATTGCTGGGTTCCAGCACTTAAAAAAAACTGTCCGACAGTTTCTTGGACTCCATGCTGTGTCTTTTGTTGTATAGCAACACTGCACATGGGAGTAATATGTTTGTGGCTTTGCGTTCAGAACTCCGTATATCAGATCCAGGAAACACCTACAAGTTTCCCTTGTCCGGGGAAACAAGGAGGTGATTCCTCTACCATATGTGCCTCCTCAAATCTGCAGCTATCGTCTAAGTGTGGAACCTGTTTCTCTCTGTATTTTTTGAATTGAAGTATAGTTGATTTACAATATTGTGTTAGTTTCAGGTGTACAGCAAAGTGATTCAGTATTTTTGTAGATTATACTCCATTATAGGTGGAACCTGTTTCTCTTGCTTCCTGTGCCTCAGTTTCCATAATACAAACTAATGGCATAGTGTAACCTCAGAGACTTGCAGAAATGTTAATGTACTAATGTGTTGTGAAGATGAACATTGCTTTGGTTTATACTTTTCAACAAACCAGTTATCCTCTGGATTCTTTGATTTGACGATGTGATAAAGTAATGTGTACACTCAACTGGTATAAAAATTGCTGCTGTATATTGCTTTGAAACTCAGTGTCTATTTAGGCAAAATAATCTTTTATTCTTTTGGAGATGTTGTCAAGCCGAAGTTTGCAGTATTCTTGTTAGGGTAGATGTCCTGATCCTCTATCCTCTCTTGCGGAAGTGTCTACTTTTTGGCTTGAACTTTCCAACATATCTCCAACTGAGGTGGAATACTTTAAGGATGTAGGTATGTTTGGGCATATCCTGCTTTATAGGGGACTACAAGTATCGACTTTATAATTTTTGTATTCTTTTTTATAATTGCCTCCTTTTCCCCCTCTCTGAAATGGGGCTGGGTGTGGTTGCATTGGACATCCAAGTATCTGAGGGATGGTGATATGTTTTTTCCTGAGGTTCAAGATTCTGACCCCTATTTTCTTAAAAGAAAATAGCGAATCAATTGGAATTACTGGAAATGAATGACAAAGTTAATTAGGAGGTTAAACTTGCCTCATTTCTGCTTTGGTCAGTGCTGTTGAAAGTGCTTCTTAGGAGCAAAAGACTGAAAATTTGCAGGACGTTTATAGGAGGGGCAGATGGAGAGTTTGCAAGTGATTCAAAGATGATATTATTTTGATTCAGCTATAAGGACTAAACAGCTTCAGTCACTGCTTTCATTTCTCCCTGTAACAATTTCTGCTGTCTAAGGTGCGGAAACATTAAGAGCCCAGCTGCCTCAGAACCCCAATCTCAAGGGTAAGAAGTAGACGCCAGGGAAAAGTAACCCAGAAGGGAGAAAGATATACCTGCTTACTAGTTTTCCTGCATGGTGAAAACCTGGTGGCGCCAATGAGCAGCTTCATTTTAACCCATGGCTGCCCTGGTTCCTGGCCCTAGATTTTACTAGAGAAACGAATTGTTCTTTCTAAGGAAGAACTAAAAAGAGAAGTGGGTCATATTATAATATATCAGGAGAACGTTTCTCTAGATTGTTTTCTGAAATATTATCAGAGCAGGGGGAGAAATACTCAGGAAATGGAAATACTCAAGCAAATGTGATTAATATTCAGATGTTCTTGAAGTCAGTCTTGAATTCATCTGGGAGAAGCGGGAAAATTATTCTTTATTGTTTACCTCTCTGTATGGTGTCCAAGCGTTAAGTGTGTTTCCATCTTTTCTTTCCCCACCCACCTCCCCTATTAAAAAATCCAAGAGCTACTATCAATGCAATCCCATATCATAACCCAAGAAAGAGGCTGTGAGACTAAGCCAACATGAGTCATATAACCATTAAGACATTTTAACATTCAGGTACACTACATTCCACTTTTATTGAGCAGACATGGTTTTCATGGTCTAATAAAATATTTTTATTTGATAGTCTGTCCTTGGTTATAGCCTCATGTAATCCCAGGGACAGCATGCTTAAGACTTTGTATCCAGAACTTTAAAGTCCAGTTGTGGCTCACTTATTAATAACTCACTGGGGAAATTAAATTCCTAGTCATCTGCTGATAACTGATGGCCTGATCACCCAGGCCATACTTCAAATGTAGAATCCGTTTCTACTTTATCCTGTGCCTCAGTTTCCACAAAACACACTCTCAGAAAATTATGTGTATTCAACAAAGATTTCTAACTATGAGAGCATCTCTGAGCAGTCACTTCATCTAGGGACTAAATTATATGCTTAATTTGCATCAGGCTATACACAGCTAATCTGTTAGTTTACAATGCTCTTTTCTACAGTCAGGCAGAAAAATTGAACTTGTGTGTTCTAAGCTTTGGTGAATAACTGATAAAGAGTCACTAGGCCTCTAAAAGAAACATAATGAAATCAATATTTAGGCTAATATCGCCTTAATTTTACCCCCTAGACTTCTGCAATAAGGTTTAAAGTAGCTATCATTGTATGATGATGCAATTTTCTTTCAAAATGTGTTCTTTGAAATGTGTTCATTGTAAATGTGTTCATTGTAAATGTGTTCTTACTTGTGTAGCTTTGGGCAAGTTACCTGGCTTTTCTGTGCCCCACTATCCTAAGGTATAGAACTGGAATATTCAAATCCGCCTTACAAAGATTCAGTGAATTAGTACATGCAAAGCACCAAGAACTGTGAGTGACACATGGGAAGTACTCAATAAATATCAGCTATTATTAGCAGAAGTACTAATATTATTAATTTAAAAACAAGTTAAGTATCTTAATTGTTATCCTGACCTGCAAGGTTGAATTTTTTTAATCATATTTTCTTCTTCTTCAGTTGCACAAAGAAACAGTACTTACGGTTAGTATCTTTCATCCCAGATTGTAAACCATGACTTTTGGTCCAGTGAGTGACCATTTTCAACATGTTGTCTAACCAGTTAATAGATACCCATATTAGCAGTTGTTGTAATTTTGAACTGTAAAATAAAAGATGTTTTTAAGATGAAAAAAAAAAACTACTACAAATGTTTGTTCCTTTTTGTTTTTATCTGTATTCATATTTAAAATTATTGCTTAGTCAAAACCTCGAAGTATTAGTCATTGATTTCTAAGCTTATAAAGGAAGCCAGTGGAGCAAGCTATAAAATTCACCTTTGATGTTGTACAAAGTTCAGAAGGGTGAGTTTAAAACTTTCCTTAATGATGGTACAGAAGTTATTTGCTTATGAACTGCTGAAGGAATCCTCCGTGAGTATTTAACTGAGTCTCCTTGTCTGATTTTGCTTGGATCTTCAGTGATATGTCAAAAAAATCCAAAAGATTGTGACCAGGATCTGTCTAACTTATGTGACTATATACTCTTTGCTTTCAGAATCAAAATTTTGACTTTCAGCAAAAAATTTTTATTTCTAATTTAAAATGAGTTAACCTTTTACTTTATTCAGCCACATTAAGCATTTAGAAAATTATATATAGATCTCTTCTTTTTATCTATTGATTAATTTATTATGATTAGTTTGAAAAAAATTTTTTAATGTGTTTTTTTTTTTTTTCAGACTTTAGGTAATGGGCAGATCAGAAAGTCAGATGGATATAACTGATATCAACACTCCAAAGCCAAAGAAGAAACAGCGATGGACCCCACTGGAGATCAGTCTCTCCGTCCTTGTCCTGCTGCTTGCCGTCATTGCAGTGACAATGATAGCTCTCTATGCAACATATGATGGTGAGTTACTCACACACCTGTGCCCACAAACATGCAGAAGACAGTGAAACCTTCATCTTAGGTTTTTCCCATCTATTAAACAGTGTGTTAAGGAAAGAGACACTTAAAGATGGTGATATAAAGATTCATTTATAAAATGTAACATCAGTATGCCAAAGCACCTAACTTTGACTAAAGTACAATGTCTTTTATGCTTGAGGTAAGTTATTAATTGCCAAGTATGTTTCGTGCATTCGTATGTATTTTAATGAAGATTCTAATGTATAATTTTACTTGATGAAAGTATTCACAATTTTATGGCCAACTTCAATTAGTCAACTTTTGTTGTGTCATTGAAGTTCGAAACGGCTTTACAAGAATTTAAGAGGTCTAATTTGAGCCTTAGAAGTTTTTCACAATAAGGATTAGAAAAGATTGCTTCATTAATGGGAAAAAAAATGATTACCAGACTAAAACAACTGATGTTTCAACTTAATGGACCTAGGGCTTAGTGGTCAGGGATGATATAAGAAATACATTTTTTTCCTTCATTTAAAAAATTTTAAATTTAGGATTTGCTTATTTTATTCCTCTATATTTCCTTCTAACTACTGTCAATGATATATAATACTTAGGTTTTAGTTCTTGCTTTAAGGAATTGATTATTTAATTGGCCGTTTATAAAAGAACAAAAGGTAGGGAGAAAGAATATGTGTATTGCAAATATTTATGCATATATCCTCCTTTTTCTAGATGGTATTTGCAAGTCATCAGACTGCATAAAATCAGGTAAGAAGATAGTTTTTAAATTTAATAGTTTTACAATTTATAACATTTAAAAATCAAATGCTAATAGATCTCTATATTTGCTTTGTATATATTTTTATTTGTTATAGGTCATTAATTAATAGTCAAAGAACATCAAAATATACTTAAGTAGTAGATTTGTTAATTTATTCATTCCAAAAAAGAATTCACTCTTTTCAACCCCAGAGTATATGGTAGGGTAGAGATGGAGAACTATATCTGTAGCTTTATGGAGCTTGCCATGTAATTGGAGAAAAAAAATCAGCACTTGAAATGGCACGCATCATATCATTAAGTGCTAAATTTCTCAATGCAGATCATTAGAGGGGTAAGAATGAAAAAGGGAGTGACATATAGTCCTGTAAAGCAAGGTGGAGAAGTTAGATTTGGGAGGGGTCTTGAAGCAGGGCTAGGATTTGGAAGTGGAGGTACAGAAGAGGGAATTCCAAACTAGAAGAAAGAACATGAATAAATCGTGTAGAGAAGCAGTGAAAATGTAGGCATGATAGATAAGGACATGTTATGGAGAGCTTTGAAAATTCATGTTTAGCCTTGATTTTGTAGTAAAAGAGAAAAGGATATCTTCCTGAACAGATCACTCGTTAAGGCAAAAGTTGGAAGATGATTCTGAGAATGCTAGGCTGGGTGGATTGAGTGAAAAGCTAGGGAGGGAGGGCAGGTAGGGGCTGCTTCTGTAATCCAGGTGTGAGCTTAGGAGGGCTGCTTGCGGTGGGATGAAAGATCTATGAGACAATGTGAGGAACAATTGGATGGCTTAATAGCACTGACTTGCTAAATGAAGGATATGAATACTTTGAAAATGACACCAACTTTGAAACGTCAAGGGACTCAGGAGACTGTGGCAGCTCATACTGAAATAGCAAAGTTACGAGGTAAGTTTGTTTTAGGGAGGTTGTGATTAATGTGGATTTAGACCTATTGCGTCTAAGTCAGGGGTAACATCCAAGTGGAGACAGACAGCAAGAAAGTAGAGATCGAGTGAATTTAGGATATGTCAGCCAAGGGGTGATAGCTGAAGCCTTGGGAATATTTGAGTTCCTAAAATAGAAGAAGTGTAAGAGCTGAACTTAAGAGGACGTCAAGAATTAGAGTAGAAGGAAAAGAAAAGTCAGAGAAGGGAACAGAGAAGTGTATGGAGCTATCAAAGTCACATCAGTTAGAATGTGGTGAAAAAAAGAACATTTTGACAAGGAGAAGAAAGGTGGTAGCTGGCATAGCACCTTAGATATGAACACAGTGTTTTTGCCCTTTGACAAGAGATTCTAAACTTCCTTTCTGATGTCTACATTTCTTCCAAGAAATAATCTGTCCCAAATGATTTTTAACCATTTTCTGTTGGATTGTCTTATCTGGGTTTTTGTTATTCACTGACCTTTGCAAAATAGTAATGGGAAAATATTGTGGGATTCTAGGTTATAGTCTAATGTCCTTAGTATGTATGTGCTCTTTGTTTTTCTGTATTGCTTTTTGCCTCCCCCCCCCCCCCCCCCCCCCCCCGCAGCCGCTGGTGAATTCTGTACCAGCTTTAGTTTGTCCCACTCTCTCTCCATCATCAAAGTGTGGCTGAGCTCATGCCGCTTCCCACACAGCCCAGCAGTGACGGCGCTGTGATCTTTCATGCGTGTTGTTCTTGTGTCACCAAACACTCTTGGGCAGAGTCAAGTCTAATAACCATAAATCCTGGACAGAACTTGGATGGGGCTCATATCAGCTCAGGGGCTGCCAGAGGCACTTCTGACAGTTACTTCCAGGGCAGAGGTTTTTCCTGTTTCTCTTTCTTGTGTCTGGTTCGGTTCCATACACCCCCCCCCCCCACCGCATCTCAAGTGCACTGACCACATGTACACTCTGGGACATGATGTGGGTAGCTTGAGGGAGACCTGATTGGGATACTAGCCATTTGCTCCTCAGTGTAATAACATGAACTTTCCCATCCAAGGGCCTTCCTAGAAACAAAAGAAGTTTCTTTATTTCTCAGGGAAATGGCTGCACAGGTGCCTTGGCTGGGAGATGTCCAGGGTCTCTGTGCCAGAGTTGGTATGTGCCCAAGTTGTCAAAGTTACCATTTGCTTCTGCCTAAATCCTATCTCTCCTTTCTCTCTACCAGCTGCCCTATTATATGCTCATGCTATTCTGTTTTGAGTAACTCCCACTTATGTGTTGCCCTCTAATTATCTCTAAGTTTCTCAGTCCTCAGTATACTTGATGCATCTATTAAGTCTCGTAATCTGTAGGTTCTCTCAGATTTTTCTCCCTCTCACTCTTTTTTCTTGGATTTTATTTTTGAAGAAACTAGATCCTTTGACTAGGTAGGCATATCTTTGTAAAATCCTACAGGTGATTGTACCCCAGAGATCTGAGCAGGTTCCTTTAGTGGTACCCACCTAAGGAGCAATATGACATTTGGAATCTGGAATCTTACATGTGACTTAATGTTTAGAGGTATGGCTTTGGCTTTTCTTTATACTGGTTGGCAAGGCTTAACTCATTAAAATGTATTTAAACTGTATCCTTTAATTGTAGTTTAGAAATCATACCAAATGTAAAAAGCACCTCACAGAATTATATCTTGGCAGAGAAATGTATACAATAGAAATAGCTTCAGTGGTAAACAAGGTTGCTGAATAGTTGTGTGTTTTTCTTCATTCTGCTCTTTTGGTTCACAAGCTGCTAGAATACTTTCATATTCGTAGTTACTCTTCCTCCCTGGGGGGAAAATGATGAAACTTACTCTTATGGATAAAGTTTTCATGCCCTACACATACACACACACACACACACACACACACACACACACACACAGAGTCCTCTACTGGTTAGAAAATATTTTCTGCCACAGAAAACATAACTATTGCTTTTAGAAGTTGCTTCAGATTAAGAAAACTCTAGGGGAAATCTTGGACAGAAAAAAAAAGGGAGAGAGTGAAAGAGTGGAGTGGATGGAAAGAAAAGAAAGACAGAATAAAAGATGTTGAAAAAAATATAAAGTCTCCTACCAGCAATTCTATAGATTACTTTAAAAGATTGGGAGAATTCAAACCTGAGCACAGAAATTGTTGAGAATTGGAAAAGTTAGGTATTGATACCCAAGGCGCTTATTTCAAGTGAAAGTTCGTTTTAGCTGAAATCTTTCTCCTCATGGAAGGGAAAGTCATGGCAAGTGTACTTCTGTCTTTGATCCTTTGAAGTCAAGAGATGGAGGTCAAACCACACCAAGGCAAAAATAAAATACTGCAGAAAGCTGTGGATCATCTTGAAATTTGTTTGGTGTTGGGTCCTTTAAATCTGAGCCTCTATAAATTTAAATATTTGTAATATACATAAAATGCTGTTTACAAGACATACTTTAAATTAACTTGCCTGTATAAGAAATGCATCCCTCTGAAAGATTACACCAGACCTAAAATGAAACAAACACTTCTTAACAAATAACAAGTTAAGGCAGTGTTCAAAACCCTACTATTAAAGTATGAGTAATACTATTCATCTCTTATTTACTATATAAAATTGTTAAAAACATGGAATTATAGAGCTTGGATATGATTTCTCAAACGTCTCTGTGTAAATCTAAATCCTGAAACTGCCTTCCCTTGCATTGCAACCTTACTAAGATTTCAAGGAATCATATACTTTAAATCAGCATTTCTCAGCTTCATCACTGTTGACATTTGGGGCTGGATAATTCTTTGTTATGGGGAAGGGGGCTGTTCTGTGCATGGTAGGGTGTTTAACAGCATCCTTGGCCTCTATCCACTAGGTGACTATCAGCACCTTCTCCCAGCTGTGACAACCAAAACGTATCTCCAGACATTGCCAAATCTCTCCTTGGGGCAGCAGTATCATCTCCACTCGGGTACCACTGGCTTAAATAATCTCAAGAGATCATCTGATGCTTTTCCCCTTGTGGTAGACAGAATAATGCCTCCCTAAAGATGTCCACTTCCTATCTCTGGATCTTATGAATATGTTACCTTATAAGGCCAAAGCTTCTTTGCAAAGGTGATTATTAAGTTAAGGATATTGGGGAGATTATCCTGAATTATCTGGATGGTCTTATGTGATCACAAGGTTCTTATAAGGGGAAGGGAACAGGAGGGTCAGAATCAGAGAGAAAAATGTAACAACAGAAGCAGGGGAAGCCAAGTTTGGAGTAATATAGCCATGATCCAGGGAATGTGTGCAGTCTCTAGAAGCTGGAAAGGGAAGGGGATGGTTCTTCCCTAGAGCCTCCAGAAGGAATGCAGCCCTGTTGACCCCTAGAGCCATAAGATAATAAATTTGTGTTGTTTTAAGTCACTGCGTTTGTGGCAATGTGTTGTAGCAGCAATAGGGAACTAATAATACACCCTTCCATAGTTCTTTTATTTGGGGGCTGTCTTTGAAGAGTTAAAACACACACACAGTGCTTCTTGCTAAACTAGTGTTTTATTACTAAATTGAGGTATGTAATATAATAAAGTAAAAATAGAAGATAAAATAGAATAATAATAGCTAACACTTACTGAATGTTTATGTGTCTGACACTATTGTAAGCAGTTTACATTTGATCCTCATAATGACCTTGTGAGGTAGGTACCATTATACATTCCTTTTACAGATGAACAAACTTGAGCTAGGATTGCACTCCAGGCAGCCTAACTTCAGAACCTGTGTTCATGACCCCTTTTCCCTGTTGCCTCAAAGGAGACCAGGAGTCTATCGAACTTTTAATACTCTATGCCTGTACGTACAGTATTTGAGAGCAGATTGCCTCTGCTTATGCTAGAACTTGGAACTAAAGGACATAAGATGACTCTCAGAGAGTTGAAGTAATTAAATACAGACTAAGAAGGAGGAGAATGAATATCTCTTTGACCAAGAAACAAGCTACTTTACTGAGAACAGCGGATCAGCTTCATCAGTGATTTTAGTACATGAAACACAACATGGAATTAAGGAGTTTAAAGAAGCAAACATTAGCA